ATAGAGGATGCAGGCAAAAATGATACTATTTTCGTGGTTAAAGGAAGGCACAGAGGCCAGGCACAGCAGCTCACACCTGTAATCCCAGCACTCTGGGAGGTCAAGGTGGGTAGACCGCCTGCGGTCAGGAGTTTTAGACCAACCTGGCCAACATGGTGAAACCCCATCTCTATTAAAAATACAAAAATTAGCTGGGTGTGGTGGCGGGCACCTGTAATCCCAGCTACTTGGGAAGCTGAGGCAGGAGAATCACCTGAACCCAGGAGGTGGAGGTTGCAGTGAGTTGACATTTCAAAAAAAAAGAAAGGCTTCATTGTTTTATGTATAGTAACTCTCTAAGACAATTGGGTTTATCAAATTTACATGTTGTGGTATCCCCAGGTATTATTCTCATTTGATCCCTGTATTGATTAAGGATGTGGATGTTTCCCAGTTGATGCATTTCAACAGATGCTGAAGTGAATTCACAACCTATTTTGTAGAGGTAAAACTCAATCCCCACTCATTTTTTTTTATATATATGATCTTTGATCTTTATATACGTAAACTTTGGCAAAAAAAAAACCACCCAAAGCAAAAATACGAAGCTTTATCTGTATTAGTCTGTCCTCACACTTCTACAAATAACTACCCGAGACTGGGTAATTTACTAAGAAAAGAGGTTTCATTGACTCACAGTTCCACAGGCTTAACAGGAAGCCTGACTGGGAGGCCTCGGGAAACTGACAATCATGGTGGAAGGTGAACAGGAAGCAAGCACCTTCACACGGCGGCAGAAGCGACAGAGAGAGTGGAGCAGGGGAGCTCTAGACACTTTCCAACAACCAGTTCCTGTGAGAACTCCATCACGAAAACAGCAAGCGGGAAGTCCACCTGCCTGATTCAGTCACCTCCTGCCAGGTCCCTCCTTCAACACCGGGAATTACAATTCCCCACAAGATTGGGGTGGGGACACAGAGCCAAGCCATATCATTACCCACGTGCAATATCTGTAAATCCACCTAAGTAACGCCTGCTTTCCTTCAGAGGACAGAATGCAGCCTCACCAAAGGCCAAAGATAATAAAACTGCTATTGTAGTAAAAACAGAAGAACTTGGAGAAAGGAAGCAGGGGCGCATGACAGGTTGGCTGGAGGCTCACTTCCCTTCCTCACCCTCCCTGCCTTTTTTGCAACCTCTGTTTTGCTTTCACAAGCAGACCCTGGCTGGCTCTTTTCTGTTAAAAAGAACAGTGTGGGAAGGCCTAAAACTTCAGACATCTCCGAGGAACAAAGAAGGTCAGACCGAGTCTCCTTACTAGTTGTTATAGCAACAAAGAAAATATTGCAGAGGCGCTGAAAATGCCACCTGGAAACCCACTTCTGGAGCTGCAATTACAGCACATCTCCCCTTCCCATGTGTTAACCCACGCACGGAATCGCGTTTGTACCTGTGTGCCAGAATTCTGCATCTCCTGACGAGGGAAACATCTCGGGCAGCCCACTTGACTGGAGTCACTGGCTTGGCTCCACCACCTGGCTTTTCACAGGTGACTTGGATAAAAGCACAATGCTGATTGCCTCCAGATGCCAAGTCTTACCTGATGGGTACTCTCTGCATTTGTCTTCTCAGCCTTTCTTAAAATGAGATGTTACACCATTTACCACAGGCACTGGAATTACCTAGAGACACCGATTGAAAATGTAAATGTATGGACTCCACCCTAGATTAAGTGAATTAAGTATCTTTGTCAACATATAAGAACTGCTAACTTAGAGAGGGGAGTGTGGGTGATGGTCCTTTATTCAGTGCAGATCTAGGCAAAAGACAATCACTTGATCCTGCCTTGGCTGAATCAAATCACAACAGATTGATCCAGTGAGTTTGCAATGAAATCAGCCAACTGTTGATTTTCATGAGAAGATGGGCAGCCTTACCTTCGTCCAGTATTTAACCTACAGAATTTAAAAGCTGAATATGAAAGGGAAATTTCAAGTTTGCTGTCTTAATGAAATCGGAACATCAATATATTTTTTCTAGCACCAAATGAAAGATTTTGTTAATATAGTTTATATAGTATTTCTAGTTCATACAGTATTCTCCCTCTCAAAAGTCCAGATTGTCCCAAGAAGAAATAGTAAAATGTCTCCTCATACAAATGTATGTTCTTGTTAGTTTTTCTGTTTCCTGAGGAACTGGCTTACAAATTGAGTCTCTGGATCAGGCACAGTGAAGGCAAATACATTTCTCCTACACACATCCTGGCATACCCATAGAGCTATTAAATAAGTACTTGGAAAATGAAGGAATAAATTTCAGAAACTCAGGTAGTCTTACTTGAGAGCATTTTAATCACTGATGCAATATTCTGCCTCAAACTGGGTAAAACATATTTTTAACAGAGTTAAAGATGCAAAGAGAAATATGAGATTTACTTCCCTACGCCCATCCTTACCTCCCACCAAAAGAAAAATATTGCTTTCTCCAGTATATAATTAAAACCGAAATATCATAGTTTAGCCTCCAGATCCCAATTTATTTGCAAGTTGCCATGAATGCTTTAGAATTTAGTTTGCATTAGGTAAAAATCCGTCAGAGCTTTGAAAAACATTCTAACACTCTGTTCACTACTTGAGGTAGGGATTTAGAAAAATATCAAAATCACTCTAAATCATCATTCCTCTTATTTAAGGCTTAATATTAAAGTATTTAAATTTCTTATGTTTTTTTTACCTGAAACTGTGAAAATAATGTAAGATCATATTTGAGGTTTTTATTTTAAAGCAGGGGATCTAGAAATAAGAGTCAAATCTACCACTGGTATTTGTGAATAGAGTTAATTGAAACAGGACTATTTGTTTATGTATATTGTGTATGCTTATGTATGTTAAAAGCAGGCTGGGCATGGTGGCTCATGCCTGTAATCCCAGCACTTTGGGAGGCCAAGGCAGGCGGATCACTTGAGGTCATGAGTTCAAGACCAGCTCGGCCAACATGGTAAAACTGTCTCTACCGAAAACACACACACACAAAACTAGCCGGGCATGGTGGTGGGTGCCTGTAATCCAAGCTACTCAGGAGGCTGAGGCAGGAAAATTGCTTGAACCTGGGAAGTGGAGGTTGCAGTGAGCTGAGATCATGCCCTTGCACTCCAGCCTAGGTGACAGAGTGAGACCCATCTCAAAAAAATTTAAACACACACACACAAACACACACGCACACACGCACACACAGAGAAAACAGTCTATGGTTGTTTTTGCACTAGAAGGCAACAGAGACCATATGACGCAGAAAGCCTAAAATATTTGCATCCCAACTCTTTACAGAAGAAGTTTGCTTTCCCCTAAGGAACCTTGCCTTAGGGAGTTATAGAGCTGACTCAGGAATCAGATCACCTGGGTTCAGACATTAATTAATCAATCATTTAGTAGGTAAAAGATCTTGGACATATTAATTACATAATTTCGATTCCTTGAGCCTCAATTTCCCCATGCGTAATATGAAGATAAGTATACTTGCCTCATGGAGCTATTGAGGTAACTAAGATAATACCACAAGAGCACTTAGAATTGTGCCTAGCACGCGGTGGCTCACACCTGTAATCCCAGCACTTTGGGAGGCTGAGGCGGGTGGATCACGAGGTCAAGAGATCGAGACCATCCTAGTCAACATGGTGAAACCCCGTCTCTACTAAAAAAAATACAAAACATCAGCTGGGCATGGTGGTGCGTGCCTGTAATCCCAACTACTCAGGAGGCTGAGGCAGGAGAATTGCCTGAACCCAGGAGGTGGAAGTTGCGGTGAGCCGAGATCGCACCATTGCACTCCAGCCTGGGTAACAAGAGCGAAACTCCATCTCAAAAAAAAAAAAAAAGAAAAAAAAGAAAAAAAAAAAAAAAAGAATTGTGCCCAGCAATAAATAAAGCTGACAGTGAAACCTAATCAAATGCTTTTTCTGTCAATGTTTCTTAAAAATCCTAAAAGAGGTTCTCACTTATAGTTACCTACATTCAGCAACATTTCTTTGCACACTCATCAGCTAGCTTCAATAATTTGAACTTCATTAAAATTATAACTATTTCTTTAATTCCATTTCCTTTATCTACTTCTTCAACTTAATCCCGGCATTGGCTGCCAAGGCCCTGGGAATCATGGAGAATCTCTTCTGAGACAGTATTAGAAGAGAAAGAAAATAAAAGAAGAACCAAATCAACTCAGGAAAATGAACAGTGAGGTAATTATCAAATGTGCATGGCAAACCAAATTTTTAAAAAGCAAAAACGAAGACCCCTGAGAGAAGTAGGATCAGCTAAAATTGTGTTCAGAGCAGCTTCAGAGAACCCAGAGAGAATACAAATGCATTTTGGGGAAGCCATTAGCACTGAACAACTTATACACACCTAATCTACTAATTAATTGTTACTTGAATTCAATCCTTTCCCCAATATTTCTCAACCCCTTAAAAAAATACATCCTGACCAGCAGTGTCCTTGGAAATCCCAGCTAACTCAGATCTATAAAACTACCCATTGGTTATCTGAAATTCAAATTTAACTGGGTATCCCATATTTTATCTGGCAAAGAGTAGTGAACCAGGCAGGTGCAATCTATCCCTGCTTGCTCTGAAGCTTTAGAGGAACTCTAACTTTAGGTGCTCACAAAATTTATTTCACATCCAGCACTGACCTTCTCTTTACAAGTTCATGGCCACTGCGGGCCCATTTAGCAGGTGTCACTGTATGGTATTTGGAACTTTGTTTTCTTGTGGTACTATTCGGGAATTAAGGTCTTTGGCAATAAGAACTGTGCCTTTTTATCTCCACATCTCTGGACTCCAGTACAGTGCCTGAAAGCCATAGATGCTCAATGCAGCCCACCCAAATGAGTGAGCAAATGCAGGAATGATTGAATTCATATTAAACACAATACACAACACACTCACAGCTCACATGCAAAATGTCCACACACCCTTCAGAAATACCTAGGATGGAGAAAAACATGTTGCCAGAATCCAAAGACCATATGGGTGAAGAATGATCTTTTATTTTCAAATGTTTTATGAAGATACTTCAAACAAAATAAAGGCTTTTTAAAAAGGGGGTAAGAGGGTGAAGAAAACATATGAGAGAGAAACTGTAACCCTGTAAACAATCCTATCGGGTTCTTTGAAAGAATAGTCTTGAACAGAACAGGTAAGAGTGAGTCAAAGCACTGATTTAACTAATTGGTGATATAATCAAATATAATTTTCAGTAGTTAATCAGAACCACAGTATTAATAACTGAGGAATAGGGTGTAAACAAATAACAAATAATTAAAAGCCACTTTATTGTCAATACTGACTCATACAACTGAAACACTTGGAAGGAAAATCACAAGAATCCACAAAAGGACAGATTCAGAGAAGTGCAAGGGACAGGGTATCTACAATAGAAAATCATTTCGTGACATTGACTTCTTGCTGTCCAGCTGAAAAAGAGGGAACACAAAGTCAATATCTATAGAGCATGTTTCAATTACACTAAGAATTTAAAAAAGAACAAGAAAACAAAGAAAACTGTTGTATTGCAGAGTTTCCCAATGACCACACAATTAGCCAGAACTTTAAGCTGCTTTTCTTCTTTGTCACTTCCCTTGCTGTCATTCGGTGACCTCCTGGGTGGATCTGCAGCTGGCACATCACAACTGTGTTAACAATTCTTGTCAGTTACTGTCAGTGCTCAGATCTGTAGGCTGGAAAAGTCTCTGTTCGATGAAGCTTCAGAGGGCTGGTAACATCTTTTCCAAAAAGAATTTAAAAGCAACAGTTACATTTCAGGAGAGCCCACAATCAAATTAGCTGCTAACAACTTTCTCTCTAACAGAAATAAGTAAATGTACTTAAGGCAGAATTTTTTCCAAAGGCCACTCTCGATGATATGTAAATGAGTCACAGAGATCGCATGATTCGCATATCATCTGCATGTGGCCTTTGGGCTGAGCTATGGTCAGTCCATTAGCAATTATTTTTTTCCTTGATTTTTCATCTGCATCAATCCGTATATCTAGGGTATTTAGGAGAGATGAGATAGAAACAGGATTATGGAAACTTTAAGCTTGAATACTCTTTGGAAACCTGAGCAGTCATAAGACAGTCTTAGGCTTATACTTTGGTAATCTTGTAAATGTTAAGGAGAACTTACCTTAACATTCATCCAGCCCTTATTATTTCAGGTTTAGATTTCAGGCCAAACAGAGTTTAAAAAGTCAAGAAGGCAACACAAACCACCCCTATTAGCCCCCTTTGTGACGTATTAATAATATAGGAGTTGTCAAGCATTTTCTAGAAAGAGCCAGACACTAAACATTTCAGATTTTGCAGACCACATGGGCTCACTGCTGCTACTCAACTCTGCTGCCGGTAGCACCAAATCAGCCATAGTTAATACGTAATGAATGGGCGAGGACGTCCTAATAATGCTTTATTAATGAAAACTGACAGCAGGCTGGATTTGGCTCAGAAGCCATAGTTTGCCAATCCCTGTAGATACACGCCCTGATTTAATACACACTAAAGGTTCTACTGCCATCTGCTGGCCAAGGGTTACCACAAGCAAAGAAATTTACCCGGCTAGATTAAAAACTCAGGACTCGCAAACAAAGGCTTTGTAACAGACTTCAAGAGCCTTGGTGAGTAAATGTGTGGATGAAGCAGGCACAAAAAAACAGGACTGAAGCCAGTGGAGCATGTCTTCCCCACCCACACACATTCAAAACAATGTTATTGTTATGAGGTGTGTGTTTTTTGTTTTTTTTTTTTTTTTTTTTTTTTTCCCGCCCAGCCTGGAGTGGAGTGCCTGATCTCACTCACCGCAGCCTCAACCTCTTCGGCTCAGGTGACCCTCCCACCTCAGCCTCACAAGTAACTGGGACCACAGGTGTGTGCCACCACACACGACTCATTTTTGTATTTTTCATACGGATGGGGTTTCGTCATGTTGCCCAGGCTGGTCTCAAACTCCTGGGCTCAAGTGATCTGCCTTGGCCTCCCAAGTTGCTGAGGTGACAAGCGTGAGCCACCACACCTGGCAAAGTTGTTTTTAAACACGGAACCACATGTTTACGATGGCATGTGGCCCTTCAGCTTTGGATTGATGCGCTATCATTTTATCACAAACAGCGCTGCCTTCAGTTCAAGCCCCATTTGATCTTCCTCCCAGAAGCATGAATTTAGACAAGGACGAACATCACTCTGACTCACTTTCCACTCCTAGGAAATGGGGAGAAAACACTTGTTTCCCCCTCTCACAGTACTGTCGAAGAATAAAGGAAACAGACAGGGTTTCATGAGCTGTACAGTCTCAAATAGGTGACTATGGTCACAACACCAACACAGAAACAAGCGAAAAAGAACGTCTTAGATTCAGATATTTGCAAGACTCAAATCTGAACCAAAGGAAAATAATGAAACCTGCCATATAGCTGCTAGCACACAACACCAGTGATAACTATTAGCTAAGTCTTGAATATTAAAATATCCCAAATAATTAGAAATCATTTCTCCCAGACTCCCAACCAGTTTGAACACCTGTTCTACTCTCTTTACAACACACAGACGCAGGCACACACTACTATGCAGAAAAATTGCATTAATGAGTTTGAGTACTATAAGTAAAAATCCAGGAATATCTTTATTACAGTTTATCAAAATCTCCAAGGAGCAGACAGCATACAAATATTGTTAGTGCAGAATCCACATTTTTAGTCAACTGCACAGAAAAATGACTGACAGCATTCACTTGAGGTCAAGTCAAAACGAAAACCCTTACAGCGTCTATCCTGAGGGCTAAGTCTTTCCTGCATGGTTTGAATGCTGTGTTTAGCATAAGCCAGTAAATGGAACGAAAGGCTTCCCAACCCTTCCCACCTGGTTTCAGTTCACACAAAAGTCACAACTTGGTAATGACCTGCAGACCACATCTGGGCCCAGACCTGTTCTCTGGCCTGCACAGGCTCATAAGACATTTGGAATTGCTTATTAATATTTAAATGACTGCTGACTGTCCATAAAGATGTCAATTTCCCTGTACTCCTGGAAAACTGAAAGGCAAAACTAGCCCCACATTCTGCTAAGCATGACCAGCTACAGAGAGCAGACTGCCAGGTGTCCCTGACATCCACCAGGGACCCTGTCCGCCTATACCTGCCCCGTTTCCTCATTTGCATAGCCTGCCTGGAGCATGTAGACATGAGCATTTGAGACCCTTTACATTTGCTTGAATCTGAACCTGTTACTTCTCTCTTAACTTTTGCACATATGTGGTTTGTGGCTGCATTAGAATTAATTCTGAAAAAAACAATGTGAACTTCTCCAAAGTAGCCCCTTGCTCCAAGAATCTATCACCTTTAAAATAAATACATGAATTGCACGGGTTGGAATGGATCCTCTGGAGGCATTTCGGTCTCAGGGAACCTGCGTTTGAATCACCCATGGGGGCACGATTTCCTCCCACAGGTAAGATCAGATGATGAAGTCAACAGCCCCGGATTAAATGTCAGAGCACTGAGGTGCTAATGCCAGAGCCTGCATCCACCAGCCATGTGGCCTTCAGAAGACCCTAACCTCCGAAGGTCTCCATTTCTTCAGTCATTGAAATGGAGAGGAGAGTCCTCTTCTCACCAGCTCCAGTGGTTGTCAGGAGAACCACAAAATGCTACACGGAAGATGCCTGGTTCAGTGACACAACTGTTGAGTGCCACTCTGATTTCCTCAGTTTATCTGAAGTCAGATCAATGATATAGGGGCCCAGTTTTTCTTGTTTTTGTTTTGAAACAACTGATACCATCTTCCAAGGCAATTCCAGCAGAAGAGTTCTGAAAATCCTGGAGCAATGGAGCACTTTGGCATCAGGGTAAAGACAGCTGGGATGATAACTCTGAGAAGGAAGTGAGAGCGTTAGAGGAACACTGCGCGGAAGCCAGACACTCCTGGGCTCACGCGCAGTGGCCTTGGGGCTAGCCTCCCACTTCCTCTCCTGTCCTCTTGCAATCCCGTGAATGAAAATATCAATTACATCTGACACTACCATGCTGAGGACCCTCTAACGCTTCCCCTTACACTTAGAATAAGCAAGGCTTGATAACCTATAATCACCACCCCAGCTGTCTCTTGATACTCCTTAGGCACCAGCGACACTGGCTTCTTCCCGATCTTCGAATACCCGCAGCTCATTTCTGACCCAGGGCCTTTGCATTTGCTGACCTCTCTATGGAGAGTGTCTTCCCGTGGCACTCGGTATGGCTGCCTCTTCTGGACTTAAGGTCTTGGGGTGATCCAGGGTCTTCCACTGACTACCCCATCTCAAGAAGTCCCTTGTCAGTGTCTTCTCAAAACCAACGGCTCTGCCTCACTTCCTTTACTATAAGAACTTTCATTTCCACTGTTCCGTATGCCAAATCTATGTCTGCTTGATTATGGAGACTATTAACTGTGTCTGCTTGATTATGGATTGTGACTCTTCATTAGATTATAAGCTCCGAGTGGGGAGGAACGTGCCTGCCTAGCAGCCCCAGGTACATCTGTCATGTAGCACAGCACTTGGCCTACATGAGATGCTCAATAAACGTTTACTGCGTAAACAAAGAATGGACAGATGGATGGATGAATGAGGAATAAAAACCTTAAAATCTTTGCTACCTATTAGATAGGTAATCTTGGATGCATGACTAACCCTTCAAATTCTCAATTTTCTAACAGCAAATGAGAATAAATTACTCTGTCAGGCAGCTGTTTTGGAATCTAAATGAGATCATGTTATGTTAGGTTCTGGTGGAAAGTCGGCACACAGTAGGTCCTCAGACAAAGTAGCTTTTAGAAAGGCCCCAGTGAATATGGCTCGTCTCCCTTGGAAGGATGAAATCTAAGATTTCAGCACTGCAATGGTGATACGTGAACGTTTCTTCATATAACAAGAGGGAGAAGAGGTTTTATGTCCAAACAGATGTGCAGAGCTTTGGTTTAAACACATTTCAAGGCCGGGCGCGGTGGCTCAAGCTTGTAATCCCAGCACTTTGGGAGGCCGAGGCGGGTGGATCACGAGGTCGACAGATCGAGACCAGCCTGGTCAACATGGTGAAACCCCGTCTCTACTAAAAATACAAAAATTAGCTGGGCATGGTGGCACGTGCCTGTAATCCCAGCTACTCAGGAGGCTGAGGCAGGAGAATTGCCTGAACCCAGGAGGCGGAGGTTGCGGTGAGCCAAGATCGCGCCATTGCACTCCAGCCTGGGTAACAAGAGGGAAACTCCGCCTAAAAAAATAAAAATAAAAATAAAAAATAAAAAATAAAAAAATAAACACATTTCAAGAGGTTTTTTACCGCAGGACATCTCAGAGCCCGCAAAATGTTGATTCGTATTCTGACTCTCCATGAGAATTTAAAACGTAGCATTCCCCCTAACTCGTCTGACCACAGTACTTTTCTTAGGCGGAAGGTGCCGTCTACCAGAGTCAGCTTGCCACAGAACACGATTTGGGAATACAGCTACGGTTGTAACTGCTGTTACTTTATCCAATGAATTCCTAAAAGAATCCAGTGCATAATGTTCAACATAAACTTGTTCAATGCTTCTGTAAGTTTCTTCCATGCTTGTCTTTCTTTTTTTTTCATTTTTTATTTTTTGAGACAGATTTTCACCCTCGTCACCCAGGCGGGAGTGCAGGGGCGTGATCTCGGCTCACTGCAACCTCTACCTGCTGGGTGCAAGACATTCTCCCGCCTCAGCCTTCCGAGTTGCTGGAATTACAGGCATCCACCACCATGCCCTGCTAATTTTTGTATTTTTAGCCGAGACGGGGTTTCACCACGTTGGCCAGGCTGGTCTGGAACTCCTGATCTCAGGTGATCCACCCACCTTGGCCTCCCAAAGTGCTGGGATTATAGGCGTGACCCACCACACCTGGCCAGTTTTCATTATAAACCTACTTCCAATATTGATTTTGTATCTCCATAATCATAGGAGAGAATTTCTATGAAAATTTTAAAATGACGTGGGAAAAGCAGTGAAGGTAGATTAAGTATATCTTGTGTGGCACCTGCCAAAACTAGCACCTCCCTTTCCCCACCAAAAACAGAAAGAAAATGATGAATTGCCCCTCCTCACAGTTTCCATGCAGACCCCTTGAAGAGAGAGCGGCCTAGGGAGCCCCACCTTGTCCTGTACCATCAATAAAGTCCCCTGCGCTCCGCCAAAAAAAAAGAAAATGATAATTCCCAAATGAACCAGCAGGTGGCTCTCAAAGACTAAATTTGGGGAGAAAATGGCCTTTATTCTCAAACCAATTTGGTAAATTCCTTCATAAGGGTCCATATCATTTCCAATATTAACCTCCAAATTTGCCAGAAAAAAAAAAAAAAAGTCAGCCTGAAATTTATTAATGTAGGTGAACTGGCCAGAGGAATTACAACCCATAATCACCAGTAAAACAAAAAGAAATTAAAGGCTCTGTAAATTCATTATACGGCACACACCAGGCCACCAAGTCATTAAGTTTTCCCAATCTTATTTTCTTTTTCTAAGGGGGATGAAAAAGAGGAAACAGGGAAGGTAGGTAGTATAGGGAGAAAAATAAAACTTTTTTTAAAAAATTTACTTGTCATATAAATAGCCACCCATAATAAGCAAGACAATTTTAGGTACTCTGTGAACATCTTTTACATCTTCAATACTTATTATTTATTTTCTGGTTGATTAAAAAGCATAACTAGCTGGGTGCAGTGGCTGATACCTAGAATGACAGCACTTTGGGAGGCCAAGGCAGGAGGATTGCACCCGGAAGTTTGAGACCAGTCTGGGAAACATAGCAAGACTCCCTCACTACTAAAAATAAAAAATAACAAATTAGCTGGGCCTGGTGGCACACACCTGTAGTCCCAGCTATTCAGCAGGAGGACCACGGGGGCCCAGGAGGTTGAGACTGCAGTGAGCCATGATCACAGCACTGCACTCCAGCCTAGGCAAAGGGCCAGACCCTGTCTCAACAACAACAAAAAGTATAACCAGCAGATATAACAGTATCAAGGTAGTAAAATATGATTTTTAAAAAAAGGCATATTAAGATAGAAGCAAGTAAAACTGAGTAACAATCTGGTATGTATACGACAAAAACTGTCATGATACAACTCAAATATTGCAAACATTTTTGAAGTTTAAATGGGAATCAATGGCATTTGTGACAACCCAATCTAACCCACTCTCTCTGCAGAGGTATCCTGGAAGGTAAGCTTATTTGTGAATTACTAATTTAGTCATTTGCTCGGCTGCTCATACAGGCACTCAGAATCTATTTTTGCAGCATCTGCTATGTGCCATGCTCGCTGCTAGTGAACGGAGTACAGAGTCTCTGTTGTGCTCCGTTCTCAACTAAAATGAAAACTAAAATGTAAAAACCCTCAGTGCCTTTTTAACATTATGCCTTCTTTCACCAGACACTAATGGAAGGCATGGAAGGCACCGGGGGAGAAAATGATAAAGATAGAAGAGGCGCAGCTCTTCTACACTCCTGGACGTTATTGCTTCCTGGGAGAGCTGACCACGAGTCAAGGGGCCACATAATTAAATATGAGATGAAAACTGGTCATCATCTGCATCTTATGAGTGCATGTAATCAGAGATGTCCACACGAGTTACAATAAAGTCCGGGGGGCTTCCTTGGAGTCTGAGGGGTGCTGGAGGTGAGACCTGGAGGTGAGCAGGAGTCAGCTAGGATGAGGGATGGGCGCAGGATACCGGAGAAGCTGCCTGGGGAAGAAAGGGCCAACAGCAGACTGAGAAAAACGCTGTTGTGCCCAGGGTTCAGAGCGGGGGCGGAGGACTGAAGCGGCAGTCTTCTGTGGTCATTCATTCATTCATTCTCATATTCATTTATTCAGCAAATTTCTGCATGTAAACTACAGGTAGCCTAGCGCACTCTATTTCAAGTTTGGTGATCTTGCACCTCATCATTAAAAAGGGTTTTTTGCAAGTGTCCCCTACATAGGTTTGTTTACTTGTTTATAAATTATATGTGCATAAGCTATTCTTTGCCCTATTACATGTTAAAAAAAATGTTTGAAAGGATGGGCGAAGGTGTAAATAAATTTTTTTTTCTTTCATTTTTTTTTTTGAAATGGAGTTTCACCCTTGTTGTCCAGGCTGGAGTACAATGGCACGATTCCAGCTCACTGCAACTTCCGCTTCCTGGGTTCAAGTGATTCTCTTGACTCAGCCTCTCGAGTAGCTGGGATTACAGGTGCGTGCCGCCACGCCTGGCTAAATATTGTATTTTTTTTTTTATTAGAGATGGGGTTTTGCCATGTTGGCCAGGCTGGTCTAGAACTCCTGATCTCAGGTGATCCACTGCCTCGGCCTCCCCAAGTGCTGGGATTCCAGGTGTGAGCCACCGCACCCGGCCAGCTGAAGTAGGATTTTATATTGTTCATGTTGTCCCCGCTATGGGCTGCTGTGTATCATGCTTCAGAAACCACTTCTCTGGAAGAAGGGCTTATTAGGATTTGCTTAAAGTCATCCAGTAAACCTGAAGCCATGACTTCTGGCCTCAGCCCAGGCTGGGGTCTACACAAACACCAGCTCCTAAACCTGAGCTCTCAGGAGAATCACCTGAAGGGCTTGTGCAAATACAGGTGGCCTGGCCCTACCCTCGCAGCTCCAGACTCAGCAGGTCTGGGGAAGAGCATAAAAATTTGAGAATTCAAAAAATGCTGATGGTATTGCTCAGTCCACTAAGTCACTTCTTCAAGCCTGGTCCCTGGCCTCCACCAGGACGCCGTGTCAGGTCTGTTAAAAGTGCAGATCACTCAGCCACATCCTACGCCTTAAAATCTAGTCTCTGGGGACGAAACCCAAGAATCCACGTTTTAATTGACTTCCCCCAGGACACTGTGAGAGATGCAAATATCTGAGAAGTATGGCTGTAGAAAGATGAAGTGTCACATGTTGTGAGGACTTGACTGGGGTCCTACCTTTGGAGGAAGGGCACTGACCAGCTGGCACGCAGCAGCTGGGAGTTCGGCTGAGCCCTCTCCTCAGAACTGCCAGGCCTGGCCCACATCCCAGACATAGGCAGCCCCACGCTTACCTTGCAGGCGGTAGAGCTGGCCCGTGCTGTGCTGCCGTGTGATGTGCTGCCAGTAGGCGCTGCGAGGCAGGGGCACCATGGTGCTCAGCGAAGCGGCCCGCTCACTCATCTTCATCTGGAGCTGCAGCCAAAGGGAAAAACGTTGTGCGTTAGGAACACGGGGGCTGAAAGAGGCCCAACTGAGGAAACAGGAGAGAGCATGGAGTGCAAGAACCGCAAAGCTGGCCAGGCTGCAAATCAATGAGCCTTTGCTGACGGCGGTGGGCACGGTGACCAGCTACTGCTTTTCCTTACTTCACAGCATCCACTCCTTACCCTGCTGGCAACACTGCATTGGTGATGCTCCTTTGGGGAACTTCTCTCCAACTCAGCTCAGTCCCTCCCGTCCTGGTGGGGCTGATTCCACCGCTGACTTTAGGGTTGGGCTGATGACACGTTGTTGGGATTCACTCAGTGGTCAATGTCTCAACCCCTGCCAGACCAGTCCGAAATAATCCGTTGAGACATTATGAGACTCTTTTGTGGAAGAGAGAATCAGCAGAAGTAAGCTAAAGATTTGTGACTGTTTTGTTTATTTCTCTAACCCCAGAGTCTAGAACATCGCCGTGCACATAGTGGATGTATGAGTAACGCCTGTTGAATGAATGAACTTTCTTGTGGAGTTGTTGAGGACTGAAGATGGGACTGGAGCCTATCTTGGAACAGCAAAGGGACAAGGTGACAGTGAGTAGACATCATGCAGAAGAAGACAGCTAAGAAAAGGAGAGAGAGGTTTTGACGAGCTCCACAGAGACCTTAGATCCCACCGCATCCAGGGGCTGTTCCCAGACCAGACTTTTCAATTGTATTAGCCGCTTAATTCTTTTCAGTTTTCGATTTTTTTTTTTTTTTTGAGATGGAATCTTGCTCTGTTGCCCGGGCTGGAGTGTGTTGGCACAATCTCACTTCACTACAACCTCCACCTCCAGGCCCCAGCAATTCTTCTGCCTCAGCCTTCCCTAGTAGCTGGAACAATAGGTACATGCTACCACATCCAGCTAATTTTTCTTTCTTTTTTTTGTATTTTTAGTAGAGATGGAGTTTTTCCATGTTGGCCAGGCTGGTTTCAAACTTCTGACCTCAGGTGATCTACCCATCTTGGCCTCCTAAAGTGCTGGGATTACAGGTGTAAGCCACTGCATCTAGCCTAATTATTATCAGTTTAAACTGGCTTGTGTTGGGTGTTGTAGCATCGGAAAGACAGAAAAAGAAAAGTCTGCTTGAACAAGTAACTTTTCTTGATAAATCATTGTTCCAGACATTGAGGGATGAAAAAAGATGAAATAGCTTTTGGTAACAGGCAACTAAGAGTAAAAACACAATTCGAGTCCCTCATATTATCAGAAAGTAGTCAGTGGCCTGACCGACCACATTGGGAAATAACTGTACCAGAGAAGGAAAGTTTCAGAGAGAAAAGCGCCTGTAGGATGGGTAAAATTAAAGGAAAGGTGAACGGGGTCAATGCATTCAAGAAGAATCGGGGTGTAAGTGGAAGCAGCCCTCCAGGCACCCCTGCATCTGAGCCCTGGTCTTAGACACAATCACAATACAGGTTTATTATGCCATCATGTAAGAAGTCACTATTTGCAAAGTTGGATTTCCTGGATACTTGAATATCAAATAATCCATTCTCATCTTTAAAAAAATTCACCCACAAAGAGTTATGCAAGATGTCCACGGGGAAGTACTTTGCCATTGGTGAAAGCTGGCGGCTATTTAAGTATCCCCCCCATTCAAGGCCCGTTAACTACACATAGACACATGTAATACTTGACAAAGATGGAAGATTTACATGAATTGGAAATGAAACATTTATATACTGTTCCATGAAGGAAACACAGGGGGTTGCAGACCCAGCACAATGTCATGTTAGTTGCTCATTTGAAAATAGTTGGCATTGGCCAGGTGCGGTGGCTCACGCCTGTAATTCCAGCACTTTGGGAGGCTGAGGCAGGTGGATCATGAGGTCAAGAGGTCAGGACCATCCTGGTCAACATGGTGAAACCCCGTCTCTACTAAAAATACAAAAAATTAGCTGGGCGTGGTGGCGGGTGCCTGTAATCCCAGCTACTCAGGAGGCTGAGGCAGGAGAATTGCCTGAAGCCAGAAGGCAGAGGTTGCAGTGAGCCGAGATAGCGCCATTGCACTCCAGCCTGGGTAACAAGAGCGAAACTCCATCTCAAAAAAAAAAAAGAAAATAGTTGGCATTAAACACCTACCTGTTTGGGACATATGAGAGTTTGATGAGATGACACCTACTTAGCCTTGCCTAGCAATAAATAGGTAAATGGGAGAAATGAAGATGATGATGATGATAGTTAGAAATTGCAGTGCCCATTTTAAGATTTTTTAAAAAAATCTTTTTAATCTCTTAAAGAAAGAAAAGTCTCCACTGTACACATCTCATCAGCATGGTAATTTCAGGCATATCTGTATATTCACTCAGTAAAGCCAAAATAATATGAGGCTTTGTAGGCTGAAGACCAAAACTCATTGTAGTTGATGAGATTCAACTTGAAAAAAGATTATAATATTCACTTAAAAGATAATTTAATTTACATGCATTGAATTTACATTTGCTGAATACAATTCCCTGTCCGTCTCATAATTCCACAATTACCAAAACATGTCCCCAAGTGGAATTATAAAGCATTAGGTCTCATGAGGACTTTTCCTAAAAATAAACTCTTAAATTAAAAGTTTCAAAAGCTAAATACTGCTGAGCGAGGTGGCTTATGCCTGTCATCCCAGCACTTTGGGAGGCCAAGGCGGGTGGATCATGAGGTCAGGAGCTCGATACCAGCCTAACCAACATGGTGAAACCCTATCTCTGCTAAAAATACAAAAATTAGCTGTGGTGGTATGTGCCTGCAGTACCAACTACTCAGGAGGCTGAGGCAGGAGAATTGTTTGAACCCAGGAGAAAAAGGTTGCAGTGAGCCTAGATCATGCCACACTGCACTCCAGCCTGGCGACAGAGCGAGACTCTATCTCACCAAAAAAAAAAAAAAAAAACGCTAAGTAAAAAGCTAAGTACTAAGCTAGTAGAAAAGTTCTGTGGCTGTTTCTTGTTTTCAATTTTTAAAATTTATTTTTAATGGACAAATAATCAGTATACGTATTTATAGAGTACAGTATGGTGTTTTCAACTATGGATACACTATAAAAAGATTCACTTGGGCTAATTAACATATCCCTCACCTCATCAATTTCTCATAGCAGTTATTTCTGTATACATGAAAGTCTAAAAAAAAAAACCCAAAACTATTTACCAGTGACTTTTGGTAACATTCTATTTCATTTGCATTGAATTCAAAAAATAAAAGAAGAAAAAGAACTCAATTTAGAGGTACTGGTTATTTGATTTTCTTAATATAAGGAGATTCTATTTAATTTAACAGAAAATTTAATACAAAGAAAACATTTGAGGAATACCAGTCACTTCAAATTATTCACGACTTCACTGCAAATATATTTAGGCAGCCCAGCATGATTTGACTGTATTTTTAGAAAGCTGATTTGGGAACAAGAGCGAAATGACAGCAGTGTCGCGTTCTGAAGAAGAGAATAGTACAAAGCCTGGCTTCCTAGTTCTTTCTCAACCCTTTGAAAAAAAAATCTAATATTACGAAAGGAGCATTTTAATTGTCTTTGGACAAAACGAAAAGCCTTTTAACAATGCATTCATGTCGGCATAATTGTGTAAGGGAGAGAAGACTTAGGGAGTCATTTGGTGAGAATCCAGCAGGTGGGTTTCCCTCTTCTGTGATGCTCTGAGTCCCTCTGTCCTTGGTATCAACCATCAGTGAAGGGCAGTGAGCAGCACTGATGTACCACATGCACTGGTGGAAAAAGCAGTTAGCACTCATTTTTGGAGGAGTTAAAATTGGTTACCTGGAGTGCCATAGGCCCTCAAATAACACCAATTTATTGGACTTTGTTTCATTATAACTTTGATGTAAAAATAAAATCTATTCCTGGCAGGGTCACTGGCTGTGTAGAGACGGCATGTTCTTCCCATGCCTGCTTGGGTTTTCTCTGGGTCCTGTGCTTTCCTTTCGTATCTCCAAACTCTGCCCGTTGGCTTCACTGGTCTGTCTAAATGGTCCCCGTCTCCGTGGGTGTAGCTGTGGGTGTGGGTGTGGGTGTGACCTGCGATGGGAGGGCGTCCTGTTGAGGCTGGGCCCCTCCTTTGGCAACCAGAGCTGCAGAGATGGGCTCTGGCCACCCATGACCCTGAACTGGAAACACTGGATAAATAATCATCTTGATTTTATTAATCTTTCTTAAATGTACGTATAGCTCACATTTATTTCAATGTGTAACATTACAAGTGTTTTTGACTTTATCTAGAAGTTTGGTAATGTTTTTGTAACCAGAAATATGCCATAAGAATTTAGCTCTTCCTTATGTCAATCAGCCTATGGGAAAATTGGTTTTTTTTAATATGTCTTTCTGCTAAAAGTCACAGAACCTATCAACAGCGTTAAATGAGCATTTACTGTATTTGGAGAGAAAGATTAGTCTTCCTACTTAAACATATGTTTTATATAGTTTTTTTTACAATAAACATAATATCTTCACATTAAGAAGTAAAAATAAAAATTACCCCAAGCCATAGAATTGTAAAGTATGGGGATTTGCCCTATAAGGTGACACAGACATTCTTGAGAAACCTCCCATTCACAAAATTGTAGGAAAAGTCATGAGGTGGGTTGACCATTCAAATGTATGTCTATTTACAACCAGACTCATTGTTACTTTGGGGGATAGCTTGCACAGCCCAGCTAGACTGAAGGTTGATTTGGGCTTATAAAAAATGCAGAAAACACTCGATTGGAAGTGCCTGCTTGAGGAAGTCCAGGTGATAGAGGTGGAGAAGGGGCTTTTGCAGAAAGCGGGCACTTGTGGGTGTGCAGCCACATGAACAGGAGCTGAGGGAGATTGCAAAGGCTGGCCACACCCTTTATAGGGCGGGGGTCCAGGGATCTGTACTCACAGCTCATCTTCTGGAAGAGGCCCTGCCTATGCATGAGTTTTTAATTACCTTTTCCCTTCCAGCATAAGGTTATAATTTCACTC